GGAACACAGCTCTTATATATCTGCCTACATAGTTTTTTCTCTTTTGTCCAGAGTGTTCAGCAGTTGATGGTGGCTACAACATCACCCAGATTTACTGTTCCAAAGAGATTTCCAGCAGAGTAATCTGTTGTTAAGCTGGCGTTTCTCCTATGGAGGTACACATTATGCATTTAAAGCACATGACTTTCCCCAAAGAATCCTAGGAACTGTAGCTTGGTGCTGGGAATTATAGTTCTGTGAGGGGTTAAACTGCAGTTTCCATGATTCTTTGGAAAAAGTCACGTGCTTTAAATGTTTGGGATGCACAAAGCCAAACACTCCTTTATGGGGATTAATAAAATCAATGCCTACAAACATAAATATATATATAGAAAAAGTAAAGAGAGACCTGCCATTTACGCTGTCTCTTGAGAAAAGAAGCAGAATGACTTTTTAAAAAGCAAAGAAGCAATTAACCTGTGAAACTCCTTGTTACAGGGTTTTGTGAGATATAAAATAGTGTACCAAAGAGACCACTAAAGGCATGGAATATAGGACGATAAGGAACTCTTGACCAAAAATGTGAAGAGACAGAAAGCTGTTCTCAAAGATCTGATTTCTGCAAATGGCAGCAAGCAAAGGGAGGAGCAGATCTCTCCCTAAATGTTAACAGTCCATCGAGTGTGATGGATTGTTTGGTCCATCCCTACAAGAAACCCGTCCTGTTGTTCTTCTGAAGTGAATTGGAACAGTTGAGCACTGCATAATCATCTCAGTGTGGATCCAAAGAATGCTTTATTTTTCTCAAATAGCAGCCTCTCTCGGCTGCATGGCAAACTGTTTTTGAAATGAAGGGGGAGTTTCGAAAACAATTCGTGATATGGCACGATGGCCAGCTGTTCAAAGGAAAAGGAGAAAAATAAATTCTGCTGGGGTAGCACAAGGCCCTCGTGTCAACTTAAGCTGCTCTCTGGCTCCTGACCTGTGTCATGAATACATTCATATGAATCGTCCGATTTCTCTGCATTTGAGATGTTGCTCTATCTGTGTTGATGGGCAGCTGAAATTGGGAACTCTGTGTCTGATGTGATGTAAAAATCCTGTCTGTTGTGTTGTGTTCTGAATGCCACAGTCATAGGCAGCGGATCACTTGATTTTGCAAGGTACTGAATGATCAACAGATCCACACATAGGACCCAGTCTTATGTCTTTATGTGGTGCAGTTCTGCAGTGATAAGTTTTTTTGTCTTTTTAAGTCCAAACAAGTAGTGACTGGCCATTTCCCCCCTTTTCTCAGGGCATCTTCTTGTTGTTCACCTTCCTTTTGATTTCTTGAGATGGAGAGCTCCAGGCTGTTTAGGAGGTCAGAGGTCAGAGCGCAGGTGTGAGTCTATTCTCCTCACCCCACACCCCATCCTATAGACACCTCCCTTTGATCTCTCTCGCAAATTTCCCAGCACAAAGAGTCGAAGGAATTCCCCAGGGAGCAATGGCACCATCCCTTCTTGCCAAGATTTTAGAAGTGGGTTTCTCAACTCACGGGTCACAGACCAAAAATGAGTCAACAGGATGTGAAAAAGGACAACGCTTGTTGTGTTTTGTTTTCCCCAATTCCTTGGCTGTGAGAATTCAGCTGGGTTTTCTACGCGGTACCTGACTCCAGAAAAACAAAGATCAGCATTAAGTGGTCTAGATTCCAGCACAATTTGATAATACTTGAATTAAGTTTCATTCAGGGCAATATACTTAAGTAACATCGTCTCAAGGAAAGCTACGGTAGAAATTTTTGCGAGGGTTGGCCCCAGTCTTTAGGCTGAGTGACACAGCCTGCCACAGATGGTGGATTTTGGGGGAAGCATTAAAGACCAGCACGTTTTTTATGGGGGGTACTATTATTTACAGTAATCATATTCATGTTTACTCACGACTACGTTCCACTGAACTTCCAATTACTGTATAGGGAGCCGTGGTGTTTTTTATTACATTTTACTGCCACTGGAGGGGGCACCATATGACTTCTGGCTCACCAAACTTTCTTGGGCTTGCCTCTCTCTGAGGACCAAGCAACACTCTCTCAATTTGAACTCCAAACAACGAGGAAAAGCACACACGCCCTTTTTAAAATGAGAAAGCTCCTCGTTTCAAGTGTGGATTGTGACCTCATGAGATGGTTGGGTTTTGAACCGTTCCCAAGGAATTTTGGTTACAATCTCAGAACTGGACACAGAGACTTACGTATTTAATACCTAGACAGAGTCCCTACCGCGAGCCAGGAGGAAAGAAGGATATAGGTAGCATGTGAAGTAACCCCTGTCAGTGTAGAGAATACAGTCGTACCTTGGTTGTCGAACACACTACCTGTACAGTAGTACCTCGGGTTACATACACTTCAGGTTACAGACTCCACTAACCCAGAAATAGTGCTTCAGGTTAAGAACTTTGCTTCAGGATGAGAACAGAAATCATGCTCCGGCAGCACGGCAGCAGCAGGAGGCCCCATTAGCTAAAGTGGTGCTTCAGGTTAAGAACCATTTCAGGTTAAGTACAGACCTCCGGAACGAATTAAGTACTTAACCTGAGGTACCACTGTACTGAGTTAGGTGGACCTAATGATCTGATTCAACATAAGGCAGCTTCTTATGAAAACCTAAGTGGTTTGGCTTTGGTACTCAAAATGGCTGGAACCTGGTCAAGAAGAATATGAGTCCTTCTGTACATTATATCAAGTTTCACCACATTCTGTTTCAAAGCACAGTACAGAGAACATCCTGTGAGGAGACTAGACAATGCAGTCTCCTCATATTAAAACTGCAGCTCTGAGGGAGGATCTGTGTTAGACAACTTGCCAGAAAAAAGGCGTGACATAAATATTGCAGTAAAGTTGCAAATCTATGGCAGGGATAGACAACGCGGTGCCCTCCAGATGTGTTGGAATATAACCCCCATTATGCTTGACCGATGGCTGGGGTTGATGCGCTTTAAAGCCCACAATTTCTGGCCTTTGGCCTAAGGCTTTTCTATATAAGAGCTTGCAAGCTTGAAAGTTCATTGGCTCAAGGGAGAAAAGTGGCAAAGGATAAGGACCATAGCTCTAAGAACAGACTACATTTTTTGCATGTAAAAGCCCCAGGTTCAATCCTGAACTTCTCCCAGTTAAAAAGAATGGGAAAGACCTCTGCAGAAGAGATGCAGCAAATCAGGATAAAAGAAGGGCATTTTTTCAGCCGAAACTCCATGGAACTCATTGGGCGCCATTTGCATTCTAAGAGAATGAGAGAGGTCTTCATGGTGAGTTACCACGCTTCTTTTTCTAGAAAAATAACATGGGGTAAATGGTACAAGGGGAGATGGAACAATGGTCTGCCTCTTAAGACAGCGCCTTTTATCTAGGACCTGTAAAAAGGAGGTCTATGTAGCAGGCTGTGCTGCCTTTCCCGTTCCTCTGATCAATGATGATGATGATAATTTATACCCCACCCATCTGGCTGGGTTTCCCCAGCCACTCTGGGCAGCTCCCAACAAAATTAATGATGATGAGAATGAAGGGATAAAACATCAGACATGAAAAACTTCCCTAAACAGGGCTGCCTTCAGATGTCTTCTAAAAGTCAGATAGTTGTTTATTTCTTTGACATCTGATGGGAGGGCGTTCCACAGGGTGGGCGTCACTACTGAGAAGGCTCTCTGCCTGGTTCCCTGTAACGTCGCTTCTTGCAGTGAGGGAACGGCCAGAAGGCCCTCAGAGCTGGACCTCAGTGTCTGGGCTGGACGATGGGGGTGGAGACGCTCCTTCAGGTGTACTTTAGGGTTTTAAAGGTCTACTGCCTGGACCAAGGATGGGGTGTGTGAGAGACAGATCTGCTCTGTTGCTGTGTGGCTTGAATATGCCGAATTATACCTGAGCCTCATCAAAGGCTCTCTGAGGAAAGGTTTGCTTGCACTGGAAGTTACCTAATTCTACTCTACCTGCTTTGGATGAGTTGTGCTTTAGAAGGCGGCCTATTCCATTTTAAAAATAAAACAATAGTATGATTTGGGTTCCTTTGGCTGAACTGAATATCTGCCTTTGGTTGTCTGCATCTGCTCTGTGTTGTTCTTCCTTATGTTCATATGGGGTATAGATCCCCCCTTTGTTTCTTTATAATCTTTCAGAGGACATGTGCCTCTTGTGCTGCTTGCAATACAACTAGCATCTCAGTGCCAAATTCTTGCTGCAGAAGCAACTGGGCTTCTCTCCCCACCCCATCAGGTGGAAAATAGATTCACCTGGGCATATATATAAAGTCCTGATTAGTTCAGTAAGATTAATCCCTTGTAGGTGTGTAGAAAGGGACGCGGGTGGCACTGTGGGTTACACCACAGAGCCTAGGGCTTGCCGATCAGAAGGTCGGCGGTTCGAATCCCCACGACGGGGTGAGCTCCCGTTGCTCAGTCCCTGCTCCTGCCAACCTAGCAGTTCGAAAGCACGTCAAAGTGCAAGTAGATAAATAGGTACCACTCCGGCGGGAAGGTAAACGGCGTTTCCGTGCGCTGCTCTGGTTCGCCAGAAGCGGCTTAGTCATGCTGGCCACATGACCCGGAAGCTGTACGCTGGCTCCCTCGGCCTATAGAACGAGATGAGCGTGCAACCCCAGAGTCGGTCACGACTGGACCTAATGGTCAGGGGTCCCTTTACCCTTTACCTTTTTAGGTGTGTAGAAGTTGCCTTTTAACTTACACTGTTGGAAGAAAGACTAGTAAAGTAGTAAAGTTTGTGCTTTTCTTTGGAAATCGGGCATTGGCATATGGGTCCAATTTGTTTTAGCTTAAATGGAAGGGGTCAAGAGGGAAGGGTTTGGCCCACTGATACCCAGGAGTCCCTGGAAACCTGAGGCTGGCTCTGCATGCTTCTCTATGTGAAGCGTTTGGAGATTTTGTTGGACACCTGTCAAAACGTCATAAAATCATTGAATTGTACAGCTGGAAGGGAACCCAAGGGTCATCTAGTCCAGTCCCCTGCATTACAGGAATTCTGCCCACAGCCCTCCCAGGGTGGACTTGAACCACCAGCCTTCTTAACAACCAGACACACTGGCCCATTGCGCCACAGAAGGGCGCATCGTTATAACATGGATCCAGTGTTCAAAATCCCCATTGTTCTAGGCACATTTTGCAATGGGGAATTTCATTAGCATGAGCAGTTTCTGAGCTCTGGGCTCAGTACTGTGGCTAAGATTTTAGATTAAAACTGCAGAGTGGAAGGAAAGGAGGACCTTTTTCTGCCTCCCCACTTCCAGCTGCTCTCTGAAGACTTGAGAAGAGACCCTCTTAAGACTATTAGGGGAGTGGGCAAAGGAAAGACTAGACCATGTGAAAAATAAACATAATATTTTAGCTGCAGTTCATTCGTTTTCAGCTTTGTATTCTTGTTACTAAAAAAGCGTGCTTAGACATTCCGTTGTTATGCCCATAACCCAGGCTTAAGGTGCCATTTCCCTCCTTGCTTTCATATCTAACACTGCACGGATCCTATCTGAGTCAGGTGAGCCACAAAGTGTAAGTGGCCATATTTATTTTGGGTAAGTTCCCTGTCTGAAAGGCCCTTGCTGATTGAGTCAGTAGGAAGAGGTTGTATCTTCCAATATCCTTCTGTTTGTTGATTGGAAATACAGTAGTACCTCGGGTTACAGATGCTTCAGGTTACAAACGCTTCAGGTTACCGACTCTGCTAACCCAGAAATAGTACCTCGGGTTAAGAGCTTTACCTCAGGATGAGAACAGAAACCGTGTGGCAGCAGCAGGAGGCCCCAGGTTAAGGACAGTTGCTTCAGGTTAAGAACAGTTTCAGGTTAAGAACGGACCTCCAGAATGAATTGGAAGAGGTTGTATCTTCCAATATCCTTCTGTTTGTTGATTGGAAATACAGTGGTACCTCAGGTTACAGATGCTTCAGGTTACAAACGCTTCAGGTTACAGACTCTGCTAACCCAGAAATAGTACCTCAGGTTAAGAGCTTTACCACAGGATGAGAACAGAAACTGTGTGGGAGCAGCAGGAGGCCCCAGGTTAAGAACAGTTGCTTCAGGTTAAGAACAGTTTCAGGTTAAGAACGGACCTCCAGAATGAATTAAGTTCTTAACCCGAGGTACCACTGTAGTGCTGGGAATTCTTTGTCGGAGATCTTTAGGCTCACCCCTGCTACAGAACGATTGTTCCTAAAAGGAGACAAAGTGATAGTGGAACCACTTATCTGTAATGCAGACAAAGTGACAGATGGTTCCTTGTGTTCTAGGCAAGAAATGAACTAGACCAGAGATCACCATTGTGGTGCCCGTGGGTGTAATAGTGCCCTTGAGGTCTTCCCTTGGCACTATCCTTGCCCTTTTCTCCCTTAAAAGGGGCATAGAACTGAAGGAGGAAGTTGGAAGAGTGACCCGCTTTCCCACTTCCTCCTTCACTTCGATGTGCTTTTTGAGGCTCGGGTTAATTCTCTTGGATCCGACTTTTACCTAGCTCCCTTGGAAAAGCAAAGCAGATTCCCACATTGTTAAGTTGTGGGTGAACATATCAGACGACACAGTGATTCTTCAAACAGCTCTTCTTTATTCAGATGCCAGAACAGAACTGAATTGAGGAGCTCAGTCAGCCTGCTTATATAGAGCTCCAGAACAATGTAACTGTTGCCATTTTCTAAAACTATCCAATCACTGAACGTCACTTTCGATCCTTCATTTGCATACAAACTATCCAATCACTGAACATCACTTTCGATCCTTCATTTGCATAACTATCTACAGTATCCCCCTCCTGGCCCAGGGTGAGAACTTCAGTACATAACACACATAGATAAGATAAGATAAACTTTATTCGCATTAGCCAGCGGCCATAGCAACATAAAACAAGCAATATATACAAATAAAATATATAAAATATATACAGATAAAAAAAGACATCAATGGATAAAAAGGGCAATCAAATGGCCGAGATTATCGTTCAGATAGTGGCCCTTAATCTCACTGCACCCTTGATAAACCTAGCAACCTTTGCTGTTGTCTGATCATTTTGGTCTGATAAAAGAAAGAACAATGTGGCCTCAGATGGGTGGCCTGGGATGGTAAGTATGAGTGGGTTAGTGATCTCATTCCTCAGATCTTTATAAAGGGGACAGGACAGGAGAACATGAGCCACTGTTTCCAGATTGCCATCTCCACAGGGGCAGAGTCGTTCCTCAGTTGGAATCTTTTGGCATCTGCCCTCAAGTACGGCAGAGGGCATCACATCCAATCTGGCCAGTGTGAAGGCATGTCTGTATTTTGGGATAGTTAATTTATACAAATATGGTGCCAGGAAATCAATATTTCCACTCTTTCTCTTATGGGGAGAGAAGTAACAAGAGGGGATGTGACCTGTGGCACTTTCCCCCCAAATCCAGTTGTGCCGATGAGCCTTAAATCTTGGGCGACCCCTGGACCAAACTCTTCATGCCATCCTAGCATGCCCAAGTGCCTTCATATTTTGTGAGTAACTGGGAGTCCTGGCGTTTCTCGCTTTTCCTAGGGCTGAAAGGGGAGGCAGTGGTGCTTCCTTGCTTGGCACCTTGCCCAGCCCAGTAGCCAGTAAGATGTGATAGCCAACCTTCCCCAAAGCCATTTTGGGCTACCTCCGGCCCCATTGGCTTGCCTGTGATCCGAAGGGGCTTCTGTTTGTGCTGCAGAAGCCAGCAAGAATCTCCAGTCTGTTTGAACAGGCCACATTTGGCTCGGGAGAAGCAGATTTCGGGAGTGTAAGGCTAGGAATGTTTGCAGAGAATCCCAAGACGACGACAACAACGCCGGCAAATTAAAACGGCGCTGCCAAAATTGTGGGACACCAGACCTGTGTGAATAAGCCTGGCATTGAATGTCCCAGGAGAGTCTGTAGCCAGCAGGACTCTATTGATCTTGTCTGTGGTGAAAGCAAATGGATGCTAATGCCTCCCCACTCCAAGAAAGGTCCTGTCTCCATTTGCTGGTGATCTCGAGTCTGGGATGGGCTTGCTGTCTCCTCTCTTGGTTTTCTCAGAGTCCAGGAATGTCTCCAGGACACTGCAGAAAACCCACAAGCTGAAACCAACGAGCAAAAGTGAACATGACCTTGTTAGAAATGTAGCTGGTTCTACAGCTATGGGATTTGAAAGAAGGGCATAGCGATGCGGAGGCTGTTGCCAGGGAGCACATCACTCGTTCCGACTCCTCCCAATCATGCCTTCATTGGATCAGGAGGGCAATCAGTGTTCATTGATTTATTCGTCATTTAAATGCTACTTTCTCTGCCACGATGGTGGTGCGAAAATCAGGGCCTCCTGTGCCTTCAGGGTACGGTTTGAAGGCACTTGAGGCTATTGCCCACTGGATAAGAAACCAACTGGATAGCTCAGTTGGTTAGGGGATGGTGCTGATAAAGCCAAGGTTGCAGGTTTGATCCCCATATGGGACAGCTGCATATTCCTGCATTGCAGGGGGTTGGTCTAGATGACCCTCAGGGTCCCTTCCAACTCTACAATTCTGTGATTTATGATTCTATGAAACAAGCCTTGCTGAAGCTTGGCAGGTCTGGGCCCGGTCAATGCTTGGATGGGCGACCACCTGGGTGCTGTGTTTATGCTGCCTTGGGCTCTGTGATGGAAGGAATGTCAAATATAAATGCAAGAAAAATGTTTAATAAATAAATAAAACATCAAAATCAATCACCAGGGACACTTTTTACAGTTTAAAATTGGTATCAAAATAAACACAGCCCAAAAGACTCCAGCAGAAATCCTGGCCAACCTCACTACCCAAACAGTTCCAATAGTCCTTAGCCAACATGCAGCTCCTTCTGAAAAGTCATGTGACCAGCTTGTGTCAAAAAGCCAGTAGAGACGTAGCCAAAATCGCTTCCGTTGGCACTGGATTCTGCAAAGTAGGTGCTGCTACAGAGAAAGCATCGCTCCCTAGCGGAGATGGGGGATCTGTATCCCTCCAGACGTTCTTGGTCTCCAGCTTGCATCAGACAACATGGCAAATAGTCCACCAACATCTGAAGAGCCATAGTCTCCTGATCCCTATGGAAGTATCAAGTTCCCAAAGAGGTCCCAAAGAATGAGCAGATTTATACTGCTGTCCAACTCTGGTCAGAGACAAGAGGAACCTATGACTTTCCAGATTTTGTCAGACTATAACTCCCATCATCCTTGATCACTGGTGATGCTGGCTTGGGCTCATGAAGACCAGCAACGCCTGCAGGGCCACAGGTTCCCTGCTTCTGCGATTTCAGCCAAAGCGATTTCAGTCCCCAAACCCTCCTCTGAACTCTGAGGCTGTTTCAAATCGAGTGTTGAATGTGCATTGTTTGTTGACTTGGTAATGTCAGTGTATATTTTATTGCTGTGGTTTATCGAAACATTTTGTGAACCGCTCTGGGACTTCTAGCACGGAAATTTCATAAATGAAAACGCACTACAATAAATGCTCAGAGAGAGGCAACACCAGAAGATGTGGACTATGAACAACAAAAGAAGGCTGTTGCCTTTGTGTCTTGCTTGTAAGCTTCTCAGAAGTATCTGTTGGGAAGAGAAAGCTAGACAAACCTTTGGTTTGTTCAAGAAGGTCTTTTCTAGTGTTCTTAACACTCAGTCAGTTGGGTCAATATATTGGCTTTAAAAGCTGGGAGGTGAATAAGTCATTCCTTCACTCTTCCTTTCACACAAACACCAAGTGATCTACTAAGCCTCTAACCATAGTTTCCCACTTCCTCCTGAATCAGGAAAATGTGGGTAGCAGCTTCGGAATAAGCCAGGATATTAATCCAACTTCAAACCAGGGGTCAATACCCTATCTGGTTACAAAGCTTCCTGATACAGTGGTACCTCAGGTTAAGTACTTAATTCGTTCCAGAGGTCTGTTCTTAACCTGAAACTGTTCTTAACCTGAAGTACCACTTTAGCTAATGGGGCCTCCTGCTGCTGCCGTGCCGCCGGAGCCCGATTTCTATTCTCATCTTGAAGCAAAGTTCTTAACCTGAAGCACTATTTCTGGGTTAGCGGAGTCTGTAACCTGAAGCGTATGTAACCTGAGGTACCACTGTATAGATAAACTGGGTTAATGGAAGACTTCTAAGTTTGCTGGCACATGCTGTGAAAGGAAGATCAAGTGGGCTGTGTGTTTGCCTCCCTATTGATTTGCTTCCAGCTTTCCAGAGGACAGGCTGCTCAGTCCAGGTTCAGTTTGAAGAACCCTAAGAAGGGAGCAGCGGTCATCTAGCCCAACCCCCTGCAATGCAGGAACTTTTTGCCCAATGTGGGGCTCAAACAGACAACCTTGAGACTAAGAGTCTCATGCTCTACCGACTGAGCCATCTCGCTCACCAGCGTTTGGGCACCTGGACAGTAGGCTGAGCAGGAACACAGTTCACCTGGTCACACCTGGTGAGCTGTATTGCATCTCTACTTAAATTCTATTAATTATTTCTAAATGTGCCTCTTTCTATTTAATTTCTATTAAGTATTTTTAAATGTGCACCTAGACATATAAATTAGATTTTGCACATTTTATACAGATTGTCCTCTTTAGGGGTGACGCGTTTCCTAAATAAGTGGCTATGCTAGGACTGTACTACTGTATCTCCTTTCAGGCTATACCCAGCTTACAATGTAAGCCACATTTATGGGTCCCTACTAAGGCCAAGGGATGCGGGTGGCACTGTGCGTTAAACCACAGAGCCTAGGGCTTGCCGATCAGAAGGTCGGCAGTTCGAATCCCTGTGACGGGGTGAGCTCCCGTTGCTTGGTCCCAGCTCCTGCCAACCTAGCAGTTTGAAAGCACGTCAAAGTGCAAGTAGATAAATAGGTACCACTCTGGTGGGAAGGTAAACGGCGTTTCCGTGCGCTGCTCTGGTTCGCCAGAAGCGGCTTAGTCATGCTGGCCACATGACCCGGAAGCTGTATACCAGCTTCCTCGGCCAATGAAGCGAGATGAGCGCCGCAACCCCAGAGTCGGCCACGACTGGACCTAATGGTCAGGGGTCCCTTTCCCTTTCCCTTTACTAAGGCCAAGTCTCCCTGTGGTGATAAACTTATCCTTCCCCCTCACATTTATTTTTCACAGGGACAGGCTCATATAGCCCAGGTTTCCCACCTCACTAGGCCTAAGTTACTGAAAGCCGGTCGGCCAGATGGTAGGGCTGTAAAAAGGAATTTGTTGCATTGCCTCTTCTGTGCTTGCCAAAATCTGCACCCACATTCTGAACAAGCCAGTCTGGTTGAACAAATTGGCCATTGGGTGATTGAGCAATGGGGTGTTTTGATGAGTACATTATCTGCTTTTCACTAAGTTGTTGCTGCAGTGACCGAGGTCACCTGGCAGACTGCGCTCCACCCTTAGTTGCATTGTCCTTTGAGAACCTTATCTCTAATCCTGGGGTAAACAACTTTCTTTTGGCTGATGGTCAAGTTAGGATTTCTAAGTCAGTGCCATAGGCCCACACTTGACCACACCTCTCTCCCTTCTCCCACTGTTTACATTTACAGTGTTTACATTTCTTCCATTGAAATCAGTGTGACTTTAAAGAGCATAACACTTTTGGCTAGGTCTTGCTCCTAGCTTTCACAGTTGATTTCTCCTTGTGCTGACCTTGCTCGAAAGATTCACTGACAACCCCTGGTTTTTAATTAGTGTGTGTCTCTGACGCAGGAGGCGGGCTTGAACGATGAAGCCCATCTGCGTTTTGCCTCACCGTAAAACTGCTACCTTTTGACCAAAAGTTTTACAAAGTCCGTTTTGCAAAACAACCCAAAAAGCGCATTTTCCAGCTTATTGTGGGCCCTGTTGACTTGTTATGGTTGGAAAAGACAGCCTACCCTGTCAGCATGACCGGAATCCTCATAAAAACAGCCCCAACTCAGGGAGAAAGAGAGGGAGAAAGGGATGGTATAAACCACAAATAACGAAATATGAAACATAGAAAAACACAGCTTCTAAGATGACAATTTCTCTTCAGGAGCAAACAAATTCCGAGCCAACTACACAACGCGCAGGAATAGAAATTACAGTCCGCTGCTCCAGCAGGGTAGGAATCTACTAATTGATTTCAAGGCAAGTCGCTTGCTGGCTTTTGCAATAGAAGGCCTATGACTCAGTGCTCATATTTGCTAGGCTGTAGCCCTAGTTTGAAAAGTCCCGAGGCAGTGGAAGAAGTTGCCACTGCAGAGCCTTCTGTCCTGTTCCCTTCCCAGGCTCTGTTGCTCACTGTCCTCCCACAGCTGCCACAGGCATTCAAAGTCCTGTTTGGCTCAGAGGATGGAGGAAAAGTAAACAGTGGGAACCAGGAAGGAATTGTGCAGAAGGCACAGTGATGGCTTCCCACTCAAGGTAAATGCCAGTTCTCTGGATTCCTACCCCAACCCAGCAGGGCAGGCTGAGATTCTGGCAGGACAGCCTTCGCCAACCTGTTGTCTTTTAGGTGTTGTTGGACTACAACTCCCATCAGCCTCAGCCATCCTGGCTGATGGGAGTTGTAGTCCAAAACAGCTAGAGGGCACCAAGGTGGTGAAGGTTGTGCTAGGTTAACAGTCTTAAAGAAGAGCTAGTGGTTAAGTACTTAATTTCTTTGACGGAAACAAAAATAAAGACTTGGGTTTGTGCTTATTTGAAAGTCCAGGTCATCTCAGACCACAATGGCCTTCCCTTCTAAATGCAGATAGGTAGGGGCTTCCACAATCCATGGTGGTGAATAGTTGACATATTAGATGTGTCTTTGTAGGCTCCAGTGATGAACTCCTTCCATACTAAACAGTCTTTGGTACTGATCCCTGGGGACGCGGGTGGCACTGTGGTCTAAACCACTGAGCCTCTTGGATTTGCCAATCAGAAGGTTGGTGGTTCGAATCCCCAAGATGGGGTGAGCTCCCATTGCTCTGTCCTGGCTCCTGCCAATCTAGCAGTTTGAAAGCATACCAGTGCAAGTAGATAAATAGGTACTGCTGCGGCGGGAAGGTAAACGGCGTTTCCGTGCGCTCTGGTTTCCGTCACAGTGTTCCGTTGCGCCAGAAGTGGTTTAGCCATTCTGGCCACATGACCTGGAAAGCTGTCAGTGGACAAATGCCAGCTCCTTCAGCCTGAAAACGAGATGAGCGCCACAACCCCTATAACCGCCTTTGACTGGACTTAACCATCCAGGGGTCCTTGACCTTTTTTTTTACTGATTCCTGGCTCAAATTCAAGCATTGCTTGTTTAACGTCAGATCACTTGCTTCCCTTGAGCTACACAGACTTCCTTTCCATGGCTTACAAGGCCTTCCATTCCTTCTGGGGTGCCCATGTGTTCTACTTTATAGAGAACAGTCCTCTATTTGAAGTGCTGACAGGGGGACAGTCCTCTATTTTTCTTTCGTTCTTTCTTAACCCTTTACTCTCCAAGCAGTGCACAGTAAGATAAAATAGAGATAAAATCGGCTAAAACTGATCATAACATTGAAAAACTGACTTAAGACAACTGCTGAAGTTTTTTTGAGGCCTTCAGCATTTTTAAGGAGTCCTGTATTTGAATGGCTGTTTGCTTGAAGGCTGTTTCAAAAATATGGAACCCTAAAGAAGGGAGGAGAGCAAAAATGGGATTTTGAAGTTGTCCATCGACAGCCAACTGAGCAGACACAGAGGTCACACCTAGTCAGCCTTTCCCACTAGGATGTTATACAGGTATTCTAGTAATTATTTCTACATTTGACTCTGTGAATATAAATCAGCACATGCAAAATTTATGCAAACACCTCGTTTTGGTGACACAAAACTGGACAATTTAGTTCTTCATTTGACAGTGCAAGGAACTGAGACTCAGTCAGCACCTGACTTGGAAGGGATCTGGCTTCCATTCAGCAGTGCCTGATCAACAATCTATTAGGGTTCTTCAGGACTGCCGTCACCCAGTTCCTAGGTGCCGATATCCAACAAGTGTAGCCTGGATCCAAAAGGGATATTCACACATAGTTCCGATTTGATACCACATTGTGCCACTCAAAAGTTGGCATGTGAAGTTTGGATTTCAAATTTTGTTTTGGATAGTGGCATTTGTTATCTCAAAATGTGAGTGTGTTGTTGTACACTTGTCAATAACATTGTAAAGACCATGAGCTCTTGATTTTTACCTCTCTATGATTCTGGGATTGTCAATCTTGGTGCGCAGTATTGAAAGGCATATGAAGATACACAATATGAGGGCAATAAATATTTCTTGTAAGAAGTGCTGGCAGCCAACAATGGCAGCCCTATGTTAAGTTCTCCCTCTCTCCCTTTGGATGTTTTGCTGTGCTGTCCTGGCCGGGGCTGATGGGAATTGTAGCCCAAAACATCTGAATGACAGCAGATTGGCAAAGGCTGACAAAGTGCAATTTACCTAGTATCCTGACAACCCATTGGTGGCAGCTAATAGCATTGAGTTGGGCTAGAGAATGACACAACTTAACAATGTTAGGACACAAGGGATTCGTTCCTACATGTTATTTTTTTATGTTGAAACACTTTGGAATGCCTTGTGCTTGTACTTGTGGATAACACATCTAAATCTTTAAACAAACTCTTAGTAATGTCCCAGTATGTTTATGAACTACGAAAGTGGTGGTGTTGGCCAGTATCCCTGTGGGTCATGACCATCTCCAAAGTACTTTTTGTAAGTTGGAATTGAAAGGTCATCTAGTACAGTGTTCACCAACACTGGGTTCCCAGATGCTATTGGACTACAACTCCCATCATCCCTTACCATTGGTTAAGCTGGCTGGGGATGATGGGAGCTGGAGTCCAAAGCAACATCTGGGAAATCAAGGTTGAAGAACACTTATCTAGTTCAGGCATGTCCAACTCCCAAGAAATTGTGATCTACTCCCACTATAAAAAAACTGGCAGTGATCTACCCAAGATGGTGGCTAACTCGGCAGCGATCTACCCAAGATGGTGGCTAACTGCCCAAAGTTGTTGAGTTGTTTTTTTGGGGGGAGAGGCCACAATTTTTTCAATTTCTTGCGGGGGGGGGGAGTTATCACTTTCTGTCATCCCACAATCTACCTGCGACACCCCGGTGATCTACCTAGGACAGCCCAATGATCTACCAGTAGATTGCAATCTACCTGTTGGACATTCCTGATCTAGTCCAAATCATAATAGACACTCCTGCATAAATTAGCCCACACCCTTGCTGCTTTGTGCGAATTATTATGTGCCACATGGTCAAAGAAGGGTGCAATATGAACTGGGCAATGTATCCCTTCCTGCAAGGAACTGCTTCATAAAAGGAAACTTGAAGGTTCCTTCCTTGGTGTAACTAGACCCACAGATCCTACACAGCAGGCAACTCTGAGACACATCAGAACCTAACTCACCCAACTGAAGCTGCTCCTCATTTCCTGACATCTTCTGAGGACTGCCTTGGTCACAGGAGTCTCCTGAGCCACTAGGGAACATAGCTGTCAACTTACAGATTTGAAAATAAGGGACCAGCAGCTTCGAAAATAAGGGACCAGCAGCCAAAATAAGGGATTTTAGTCAACCAGCAGCCAAATGAAGCCTCAAGTGGTGGTTCCCATAGCGCAGCAACCCGGCAAAGGAGATGCAGCAAGGAAAACCACCGTCACCTCTCTGCTGGGGAGCGCTGAGCAAAGGCAACGTGGCCGATTTGATTGGCACAAGGCATGCAAGCTCCACCCCCAAGTTGTTCTTAGACTCCTTATTGGGTGAGCAACACAGCCAAGCAACACAGTTGGAGCCTCCCTCCTACCTGGCCGGCAGGGAGGGAGGGAGGGAGAGGAGCTGCTTCCTTTGAATCCCGGGAAATTTAAGGGACATCATCAATAAGGGACAGCAGCGGGACATGGCGCTGGGATAAGGGACTGTCCCGCCAAATAAGGGACGCTTGACAGCTATGCTAGGGAAACATCCTTCTTCCCCCAAAGATTGACAGATGGGTGGTGTTGCTATAACTCGCGTGTTTTGTATGCAGGAAGTACAGTCTCCAGGTGGGTCTGGGAGATAACCCTCTCTGATAGCCTGGATACTGTTGCCATCAGTGTAGACACTACTGGGCTAGCTGGATCAAGGATCTGACATGGTACCTGTGTACCTAATGGAACCCAGAGAAGTGGGCTTCACCATTCAGGTGAATGATGCAGAGGGAGATGGTCCAGCTGCTGTATCCTCCACATCTTCCTTTCCAGGTTCTACCCCCTCATCCTCTACCTCCATCTGCTCTTGTGGCAATAAAAAACCCTTTTTGGGGTGTTTGGAGGGGAGGATGAGTGGAAGGACTAGAATAGGTGGGAGGTGCAGCATTTACCACTCTGCCACTAACACTGAATGTAAAGTCCAGTTCCCCAGTATGTGACCTGGGAAAGCAACCCAATGCAGTTTAAATGGGCCCAATCCAGTTTCAGTGTGAAGGAATATATCCCTCTATTTTTGTGCCAGTGCTCAAGTTAACTCCTATCTGGTAAAGGGAGTTCTCATGAATAATAATAATAATAAATAATAAATTTTATTTATACCAAGCCCTCCCCGGCCAGAGCCGGGCTCAGGGCGGCTAACAATAAAAATTACAGTAAAAACCATAATGGGGAGGGGGGGGACAAAAAAATAAAACCAGTTTAAAATACAGGTTAAAATGCAATTTAAAATACAGCTTCATTTTAAAAGTAGCCCATAGATCACATAAAGGGAGGGAAACATAAGGGTCAGGCTGAGTCCAAGCCAAAGGCCAAGCGGAACAGCTCTGTTTTGCAGGTCCTGCGGAAAGAAATCAGAAATGAGACAGAGCGTTCCACCAGACTGGAGCCAGTGTTGAAAAGGCCCTGGCCCTGGCTGAGGCTAATCTGACTTCCTTAGGGCCCGGGACTTCTAGGGTGTTGCTATTTATGGACCTTAAGGTCCTCTGTGGGGCATACCAGGAGAGGCAGTCCCGTAGGTAGGGAGATAATGCATTGCACTTATAGTAATGAATGCAGATTTGAACTAGTATTATTATTTTAGGGAAAGGGAAAGGGACCCCTGACCATTAGGTCCAGTCGTGACCGACCCTGGGGTTGTGGCGCCCATCTCGCTTTATTGGCCGAGGGAGCCGGCGTACAGCTTCTGGGTCATGTGGCCAGCATGACTAAGCCGCTTCTGGCGAACCAGAGCAGCGCACAGAAACACCATTTACCTTCCTGCTGGAGCGGTACCTATTTATCTACTTGCACTTTGATGTGCTTTTGAACTGCTAGGTTGGCAGGAGCTGGGACCGAGCAACGGGAGCTCACCCTGTCGCGGGGATTCGAACTGCCGATCTTCTGATCGGCAAGTCCTAGGCTCTGTGGTTTAACCCACCGCGCCACCCACATCCCAGTATTGTTATTTAATTATTTATTAAATTAGGAAGAATATTTCGTCACGGAAATGTTCTAATTCTAGAAGAGGCTTCTCCTCTCTTGCTCATGGAAATGTTTTAAACACAAGCCTTGGTGACGGGATAAAGGGACTCCAAGCAGGGAGGCTCTCTAAGCCAGGGCTGGGTCCCCAAAATGCCAATGAATTCCCCATTTACTGAGGCCAGCAGGACGAATGATCAAGGATGTTGGGAGTTGGAGTCTGGCCATATCTGGAGGGCCACAGGTTCCCAGCTCCTGCTTTTTAAGCCTTTGAGGGATTAACTGAGAACAGAGCGCATTTGATGTGTTTGATAATAGTAATAATAATAATAATAATAATAATAATAATAATAATGTGGTACCGCATGTCGGTCTTGGAAAACTGTGCTCATGTGAAACACCAGACTGAAAAACATAAAGAGGGCAAATGAAGAGGAAGTTGTTTGGGGGAGGGAAAGATCTTGGTTTAAAATGCCACAACATAATTTAATTAAAAGAAGCCATTAAGCGGGGCAGTGGGGGGAGGGAACCTGGGGAGATTGAAAACAGGAGTTGCTCAGAAGTCACAATAATAATAAGATGTTCAAAAGGAAGATTTAGATGGGTTACGATATAACTTGGCATCCCCCCCCCTTTACACACTTACTGTTTGCTAGCACGGAAGTGTGTTTTTGAGCAGAGAGAGAGAGAAAGAGAATAGCTTTGAATAGGACAGTTACTGTTATAGGATTTTGTGCCATTTCCAGCCCCACAAGTTCTGCCAATCTCTGCATTGGCATTAGATGCCTACCTGAAGTAACTTAAATATTATTTATCTAGGCTTGCCAGCTTGCAAACCTGAGATTTCCTTCTCTCCTGCTAAACCTGATGATTAAGCCAGAGACGCCGTGGCCTCAGCTTCTCCTGCGTGTTCCTCTTATCCTTCCCTCTTCCTCCACTTCCTGTGGTCAAAATTGACCATACAACAGCTATTGCCTTGCTTGTTTTCTTGAGTTCCTCTTGTTCTCTGGTGTACAGTGATGACTTTACAAATAATGTCATGTAAATTGCATGGTTGTCTTAGTCTGTTCTCATCATTATCTTGAGCCTTGTTCTGCGTCTGTGAAGTTACACTGAGTTCTTTACTCTGAGAGGTTTTTAAAGCAGATGCATATGATTAATTCCCAAGGGCTAACATGAACCACTTATTGAAGAGGTAGAAAACATGGTCCCTTCCAGATGTTGCTGGACCAACTCCCATAAGCCCCAGCCAGCCCGGTCAGTGCTCAAGGGTGAAGAGTGCTGATGTTGACTGTCCCTAACTTACCGTATTTTTCGCTCTATAGGATGCACCCAACCATAGGACGCACCTTGTTTTAGAGGGGGAGAACAAGAAAAAAAAATCTCCCCCTCTCTGCTCAGCGCCCCTTCAGCAAAGTGGCAGGAGAAACGGAGCCCCTTCCATTTCTCCTCCCACTTGGCTGAAGGGGCGCTGCGCAGCTCTCCCTCTCTGCTGAAGCCGGGAGAGTCTTGCTCTCCTGGCTTCAGCAAAAGGAACCCGAAGCCTTCGGAGCGCAGCGTGAGTTCCTGCTGTGCTCCGGAGGCTTCAGGCGGCCATCCCTGAAGCCTGGAGAGCAAGAGGGGTCGGTGCATACCAACTGCTCTTGCTCTCCAGGCTTCAGCGAAAGCAATGTGAAGCCTCTAGAGCGCGGAGGGAGCACTCCCTCTGCGCTTCGGAGGCTTTGCGTTGCTATCGCTGAAGCCAAGGAGCCTGAATTCGCTCCATAGGACGCACACACATTTCCGCTTAATTGTTGGAGGGGAAAAAGTGCGTCCTATAGAGCGAAAAATACGGTAGGTCATACCCACATCATATGGGGAAGGCATGTGACTTCCCCAAAGATTCCTGGGAACTCTACTGCCCATCAGCCGATGAACAGTAAAACTGAAATCACAGCACACAGTGATGCCAGGCGTTTGACAGATCCACCTTCCAGATCCACTATCCGCCTTCTAGGCTAGAATCTGATCAGGATCTGGCTGGCAGACACAAAAAATATTTTCCACTCCTACATTAGAGACTCATGATAGTATAAAATTGTGGAAGTTGATGGGTTGCGCTGGTTGTTTATTTGTTAAATTTGTATCCCGCCCTTCATCCCAGGGCAGAAAACAACAAGGGATAGAGCTGTTGTAAAAATCTTAAAAACTATTTTAGTACAGATGCAGACTGGAAAAGGCTGGTTAAAAGAGGAAGATCTTCAGTAGGGCAGCTGCCATAATGCGAAGTGTCCAGTGTGGTGTAGTGGTTAAGAGCAGTGGACTCATAATCTGGTGAACCGGGTTTGATTCCCCGCTCCTCCACATGCAGCTGCTGGGTGACCTTGGGCTAGTCACACTTCTCTGAAGTCTCTCAGCCTCACTCACCTCACAGAGTGTTTGTTGTGGGGGAAGAAGGGAAAAGAAGTTTGTTAGCCGCTTTGAGACTCCTTAGGGTATTGATAAAGCGGGATATCAAATCCAAATCCAAACTCTTCTTCTTCCTACATTGTGTGGAACAGGTCTCCGGATAAGATGTTATTAGGAGCATGCACATTGTTGTGGTGAGAGGTAGGAGAGTGAGACTGCACTTGCTTGTGGTCAGAACATGCACATGCTTTTCCTATGCCTTCATCTGAAGAGATACCAGTGGCTGTGATCCCATGTGTGAATGTTCATCATGATGTACGAAAGAGGCTCTTCTCATTGGGTCCTCAGTCTTTCAGTCTCTGCTCGCCCAGTGGCAACTCTTTTGATGCAAACTGAGCGACGCCACTCATCCCCAATACCTGATCATCTTCCCCACCCTATATGGGATTGAGAACACATGCATGAGAGTCAGAAAAGGGCAAGTGAGAGGCCTGTAAAACCCACTGGCAATTATCCCGCACACCATCACCATCACCAGTCAAACCCGTACCGACTTCTGTGGCCCTCCTGTCTAAGCATAAGCTGAGGTTCTTTGGATGCTGGTTTCTCTAAAAGGTAAAGGGACCCCTGACCATTAGCTCCAGTCGTGGCCAAATCTGGGGTTGTGGCGCTCATCTCGCTTTATTGGCCGAGGGAGCCGGCGTGCAGCTTCCGGGTCATGTGGCCAGCATGACTAAGCCACTTCTGGCGAACCAGAGCAGTGCACGGAAACGCCGTTTACCTTCCCACCAGAGCGGTACCTATTTATCTACTTGCACTTTGACGTGCTTTCGAACTGCTAGATTGGCAGGAGCAGGGACCGAGCAACGGGAACTCACCCCGTTGCGGGGATTTGAACCACCGACCTTCTGATCGGCAAGTCCTAGGCTCTGTGGTTTAACCCACAGCGCCACCCTGCTAGTTTCTCTACCACTCGCCAAATGCCATACATGTAAGGAGCAGCCATGGATGCTCGGAGGACATGGCAGCCAGGGTAGAACTTCTTCAAGCAGTGCTTTGTGTCAGCACGTCATGTGCAAAATGAAAGTGCAAATGCCTTCAATCTGATCAAGAGGCTCTGGCCTAAAGCCAGTGGTCTCGATCTCATGCTAATGAAGCAGAAGGCACAAATACAAATAGTGTGGCTGCGTAACCCACCCAAGAGAAACCATTGCAGCAGGGAACACAGTTGCCCACTGTTAAGATGTGCCAAGCATGCTCTCTCCCAACGTTTGTGGTTCTCCTGAAAGCCTGGCCTTTTGAAATGGAGATGTTTCGTATCGGCCTCAGCAACTTAACCTTTGTACCATTTCAACACAGTCTTTTTTTAGTCAATGCAGTGGCCGCTACAAGCTTCGCCATGCAAGACAAATTAACGGAGCCCCCAAATACATTATCTTTCCCCTGCTGTTGTTGATCTTCCAAAGTTTTCAAAATACTTCTGTAGTTACTCCCTGTCTTGCAGAACCTTACCATGAGAATTGAGTTGGAGGAAGGGCCAGGGCCAAATTCAGGATGGGTGCCACACAGGGTGCAGAGTTGAGGGGGTACAAAACAACAACAACAACAACAACAACAACAACAACAACCCTATATTTATATGGGTACCTGCTGAGAAGTTCCATAAAAAAGCAACTGTACCAAAAGGAATTATTGTAAAAATAAAATCATTATTTTTCTGGGCGGGGGCAAGTTTTGTCCTTGCTCAGAATGCCATGGTACCAAAATCCATCTCTATATGGGGCTGTAAAATGCAAGTTTATACCAGGTCGGATTATTTGTCCATCTCACCCAGGGTTGTTTACTCTGAGTAGTACTGGATCCAGGATCACTAGCAGAGAGTCCTTCCCATCACCTGTCGCCCAGTCCTGTAATCCATAGGTTAAAGGGATTAAATATGGAATTAAGCGTGAGACTTTCTCTATGCAAAGCATGCATTCTAACACTAGACTACAGTCCCTTCTTCCCTGTCTTGTAGTCTAGCAACATGTCTTAATGAGTTACCAGCCATAGTCTCAGGGAAGTATATAAGCAATGTGTGCCTTCTATCAAGGATAGCGAAATTTTGTCTCTCCAGGTGTTGGTGGACTGCAACTCCCATCATCCCTGACCATTGGTCATGTTGGTTGGGGCAGATGGGAACTTCCCTGTACCTTCTTTATACCTTACCATCAATTTGGAAGAGATTACAGTTCAACTAATTGAAAATGGTTTTCATTTAGACAACGTGCTGTGGGTGTTCATAGTGTGGTCAATTCAGTCTTAGTTGGGTTGGGTGAATGAAATGAACTTTGTAGGTACATGCTAGAATTAAGAGTCAACAGTTTTTAAAGATAAAATTCATGCATTTACCCAGACTCATTTCTGATGTCAAAGAGACAGACAGACAGACAGACAGACAGAGACAGACAGACACTGTAATAGTATTTTTCCTTGCTTTTAGAAGCAGGGATTGAATTTCACCTCTGGCTGTGATGCCACAAGGTGAGATTTGTGAAACAGCCAGAATGAAATGCAAAACTACTTGAATTTCAAGTCTTTTCAAATTTTGTTTCTGGATACGAAATGGGGACCTTTTCCATGATACAGGGCATGAATTTTTCCAGTAAACCCAAAAAGGCCCTCCCTTTACTACCACAGTTATGTAACAACTAGGCACTGTATGGAAGCAGATAGCTGTTCCAGACCATATGGCTTACCATCTAATTGAAACCAACAGAACAAAGGGAAGGTGTGGACAGAATTTAACACAGCCAGCAGCCCAGAATAGGAACGGGGAAATTACCTGTTATGTAATGGTTCTGATTCTCTTGGTGAGTGTTGTTGGGGTGTGGAAAACATCTCACAGGAAGGTTGAACCCCATGGCGAATGTAGCTCACAGCACAGTTCCAAGAAGGGGGAAGGTGACAGAAAAGCAGGTTATCAGCAATTGCAAAAACAACGAGACTAGTTTAATCCAAGTGAAGTTGTGCAAAAACGCCACATGTTTTCATGGCTCATATTCGTTTCAATAGGGTTTGCTCAATGACTTATCAGTATCATCACACAGTAGTAGCCTTGGCTGCACATCACTTAAAGCCATAAGCTAAACTAAAGATTTAAACTTAAGATGCTAGTGCATCTTGTCAAAATCGCAGGTCCTTTGCTCCTCCTCTGCTCTTGTTTCTGAAAGATGTGTGCTAAGCCATGGTTTTATCTGAACCCGGCTCACGGTTTGTTTGTTTCTTTCCAAACAAACCATGAGCTGTAGCTAAGTCTTGTTCTTGGCTTACCGCTCCTGCTTTCAGGGAGACAAACCACAAGCCAAAGTTCAGACATCATGCTGAATAGTAATTTGTTTAATTTATTTATTTCATTAAATACGTACCGTATTTTTCATCCTATAGGGCGCACCGGCCCATAGGACACACCTTGTTTTTTTGGTGGGGGAAATGAATAAAAAAAAATTATTCCCCCCCAGCCGTGGCTGCAGCCCCAAGCCTTGCGGACACCCGCCCGAAGCACGGGGAGCCCTCCGGAGGGCTCCCCGTGCTTCAGGCGGCAGGCTGCTGCCCACAAGCCTTGTGAGCCCGCGGGAACTCCTGCTGGGCTTGCAAGGCTTGCGGATAGCTTCCTGAAGCCTGGAGAGCTAGAGGCATTGGTGCGCACCGACCCCTCTCACTCTCCAGGCTTCAGCAAAAGCCTGCATTCGCCCTATAGGACGCACACACATTTCCCCTTCATTTTTGGAGGGGAAAAAGTGTGTCCTATGGGGCGAAAAATACGGTATATACTGCTCTTCCTTGAAGATCTCAGGGTGGTTCACAGTGTAAAACTACAAAATAAAAACACAGTACAGTAATCCCAAACAGTAACCACAAACTATATAAAGTGGACGCTGCGGGTTGCAAACGTAATCCATGCGGGATGCATGTTCACAACCTGCAGTGTTTGCAACCTGCGTCTGCGCACACGCGGGTTGCAATTCTGCGATTCTGCGCATAGCATGATTTAGCGCTTCTGCGCATGCGCGACCGCCAAAACCCAGAAGTAACCCGTTCCAGTACTTCCGGGTTTCGGCGGTCTGCAACCCAAAAAAAACGCAACCTGAAGCGTCTGTAACCCGAGGTATGACTGTATTCAATTTCTCTTTGCCAAAGATTTTTGCTTTCTTTTTCTCTCTTCCCCACCCCCCTCCCACATCTAGGAAGAAAATTCCAATGGCTCCAGCCCCCTGGGAATGTTGACGGACACTTGCCACAAATTGGAATTGACCCTGTTGGGAAAAGCGGAGGGAAAGCTTGGGGAAGAAACCTTATCTTCTGGGTTTGGAGCCTTTTGCTCCAAAAATCTGGAGCGCGGAAGGCATGGGAGATTCCTATACGGCCACTTTCCCTAACGGGAATGGACTCCTGTCTCCTTCAGCAAGCCCTCAAGCTTCCACCACTTACAGCAATGATTACAGCCCGTTCTCCCATTCCTTCCCAGCCTCCCCAACATCTCAAGACCCATCATCCCTGTTGGTATCCAAAGGGCACCCTTCCTCCGACTGCCTCCCCAGTGTCTACACCTCTTTGGACATGGCACACCCTTATGGCTCCTGGTACAAAGCTGGCATCCACCCGGGCATCTCCACCGCCTCTAGCAACCCCACGGCTTCCTGGTGGGACATGCACTCCAACAGCAACTGGCTGAGCTCCCAGCCCCAGTCAGATGGACTTCAGAGCTCCTTGCAGACCATGCCCAGCCAGGCTCCCATCAGCCCCCAGCTGCCCAGTTACACTTCCGAATTCACCACCTTAAACCCTGCTCCATACCCGGCTGTGGGCATCACTTCCTCGTCGCACCTTCTCCCTTCAGGTCAACATGTGCTGCCCCAAGAGATGTACAAGCCCAAGCCGGTGGCCAACAACTCCCTGATGGAAGGTGGGATCGGACTGAAGTCCGGAAGAGGCAGCTCCTTTGGGAGTACGGCAGGCCGGTCGACCTGCGACTGCCCCAACTGCCAAGAGCTGGAGAGGCTCGGGGCCTCGGCAGCCAGCCTGCGGAAGAAGCCCATCCACAGCTGCCACATCCCGGGCTGCGGGAAGGTCTACGGGAAGGCCTCGCACCTCAAGGCCCACCTGCGGTGGCACACCGGGGAACGCCCCTTCGTCTGCAACTGGCTCTTCTGTGGCAAGCGTTTCACCCGCTCGGACGAGCTGGAGCGCCACGTCCGCACCCACACCCGGGAGAAGAAGTTCACCTGCTTGCTATGCAATAAGCGCTTCACCCGTAGCGACCACCTCAGCAAGCATCAGAAGACCCACAATGAGATGGGGGTAGGGAAGCCCCCCGAGGGCGAAGCAGAACGGGAAGAGGCGGCCGCAGTGGCCGGTTCTCCCAGTGCTGCCTTGCAGGACGGCCTCCCTGGAGACGAGAAAGACGCCACCAGCCCAGAGCAGAGCAACCTGCTGGAGATCTAGGTCGCTGGTGCTGAGGGCTCCACCTTTGTTGCGTCGCACCACCGACACCCTTTTTTAACGCCTCTGAGCGAAATAATTTATTTCCCAGGGGAAAGCCCAGACGCAGACCTCGTGCCAAACTTCACTTCCCCTCCAACCCCCCAAACAAACTTCGCTGAGAGACCCCTGAAGGTCCACGGCTTTGTGGCCAAAGACACAAATATCCGAGCCAAAATCTTGAAGCTAAGTCTCCGGTCATCCTCTGGATGGTTACAACCAAAGCGTGTCCCTGCCTTGGTCTCGGCATGGTCACTCAAGGGAATGGACAAGAAATCTGAAGTCGTGCCATGCAGAGTTGGCCAAATAGCAGGCCGGACAGGAATAAAGTGGGTTTTTCTCAGGGTATGTATAGGAATCGCCTTTTGTCTAGCGTAACCCACTGAGGATTCAGTTGGAATCACCTCCTCTAACTTTGTGCAGTGAGCAGCAGTCTTGCAGCAGGTGGAGAGAAGAAGACGGTGAGAGGTCTGGAGCAGCTTTGAGACTAAGGTGGAATACCTGTCTCCACAGAACATACCCCTGGTCCAGAGCTCTTAAAGAGGCAAGCGTGATCTCTAGCTCAGGATATGGCAAATAGGCTTTATAGGTCCAGATTCGGAAGGGGCTGCTGTTCCTTTAAGAATGGCAAGCTGGGCAAATTCCACTAGAGGCGGCTTTTCAGGTACACTGCAGCACTGATAGGAAAAGCCATAACTGGTGGTACTCTTATAGGTACAGAAGCCACCTCCGAGTCTGGACATGCAGTTGACAGTGGGACTAATGGGAAATAGAACTGACTGGTGGAGCATGAATAAATTTGAAGCCCTTTTATATGCAATTGGGAGCCATTGGTCGGGGATTTGTACAGGTAATGGGAGCTTTGCCATTAAAATCCCAATCAATTTAAAATGAAGCATGTTGCTCTTGGGCAGTAGCAGGCAAGTTCGGAGGACAGTTTTGAAGGGGGACGGATGGGCATCCATTTACACAACCATCTCTCCGTTCTTCACACACAACAAGGGCTCCATCGCTCCCTCTCCTGTCAATGCAAGTCTGGCAAAGGCCATGCAGTCTGGATAGCAGAGTGTTGGTGGTATAACAGCACTCCAGAGATTGTGTCTGCCTTTTGCAGGCACCAGCCATGCCTTTGCTTCTGGTTTTAGAATGCACGTACCAAGCTGAGGACCATGGGAATGGAAGCCGTCCACCTGGATAAGAGACTATATTCAGACAGTTGGCAGACACGGCGCCATGCTGTTAAAAACGGGACTCTCTTTCCATTGAAATCCAGAGAACGTGGAAATTTCTTCTGATGCACTCTGCTAGATGCACAGAGGTAAAGAGGGTTGGAGAGGAACGAAGGCCAACCACTCTGTAGAAGTCAAGAAGGGGCAAGTTGTCCCGCAAAGGTGCTACAAGACCCTTGGAGCTCCCTCTCCCCATGTATTTAATCTAGAAGTATATTTATGCCTTAAATTATGATGACAAATTAACAGAGGGAAGGAGGCAACTAGGTTCTCCAAGAGGCCTCGTTAATGTGAGGCATCTGTTATCTTATCAGGGTGGTCTCTCTGTTAACTGGGGGACTTGCTCTGTGCAAAACAGCATGATCTATAACTTGCTCGGTTTCTTTTGTTTTTTGTTTGCTTCGTAAGGTGAAAAAAAAATGGAGTATTTATAATCTTGAAATGCTTTTTTTTTTTGTTTAAGTTCTGTGTCGTTTTTTTACGATCCATTGGGATTTTGAAAACCCCTTGTTAATATCAGAAATACGGAGCCAGATTTTCAATTTGCTAAGTGCACATATTTCGGGGGAAAGGGTTTAGTTTGCTTTAAGACCTCTGGCTTAATCATCAGTGATGGGGAGCCACTGGCACAAGCCCCTATTTTGGGGGTGGGCAGAGCTGGTCTAAGACATTTTGCCGCCTGTGGCGAAGAACAGAACCGTGTCCCACATTCCATGTTCAGAAGCTGATTTGACTGGCAGGTGAATCTTATTTCAGTGCTGATGGTGAGCGTTCACCATACCTGAGGCTCAGCAGGCTAATTTTTGGGGTGTAGGACTGGCCATGAGGCATACACAGCTGACCTCCAACAGAAGACAGTGGTCAGAAGTAACAAGCAGGGGCTATCTTTGACATATGCCACCTCTCTCTGCCCAACGGTATGGCCAACTCTGATTTGGGGGCAGCGCCTTTCTGTGGACGCATATTGCTGAACTGCTTCCATTTCCCTTAGATCAGCCTGCCGTTTCGGGGCGTTGGAAGTATGACACATTACAAAGAGGCTGCCATGAAAAATTCCTTTTTCAGGTTGTGACTTTATGTTGGGTGTTTCTTCCCACATTGTTCATTTGCTGGAAGAGGGTACACATCATTTGATGGTGTCCGCATGCCAAAACATTCTTGGGAGAGTGAGGGATGCCCATTATTAAGCAAGTAAACCAGATATGCTTCAGCATCTGTGTAAGGAGAGAGGTAAACTTATTTCAGCAACAGAAGTAAAAAATTTTTTTTAAAAAACTACATTTTGCCTGCTCAGTGGCACATCTCACATGGATTTTTTTTTTTAAAAGAAAACAGTTTGGACTTTGCTTGTTTTTAATTTAATTAAGAATAAAATATAAGCTATGTTGTGGGGGAAGCTTAAAGAAACTCGATTCTTATGTTTGGAGGAAAGCACAATCCAGTGCTTCTGTACCACAATTCAAATAAAATTGCACTCCTAAGGCTGGCAATGTGGCTATTTATGGGTTGGGCCTTTATAGTTGTAAACAGCCTCACAGTCATGCTGGGTAACCCTGAGGTCTACTTTTATTTATTTTTAAAAGCTGCCTTTTGGTCACAAAACAAGCAGGAGAGTTACAACACACCATTCAAAAATCACATAATAAATCAAACTTGCAACTCACAAGATGAAAAGGGGAAAGAGTCACCGTAGTGGATCTTCCTCTGCAGGGCACAGCTGCAAAGTTTGTTGTGACTTTTAGGAAAGGGATACACAAGGAGAACACCTATTGGAACGTTACTGACCAGTTTCCGGTGGAGCACCTAGTGTCTGCCGGTTGCTAGGGCTTCTTGAAAGGATGCTGGACTAGGGGAGGCATGTATCGGTATGTTCGTAAGAAGACTTCGCACTTGGGATCTATTAATACAGACTAGGCGTGCCTCAAATGTTTAAGAGCTGCTTAATAGTGCGGCATTCATTCTTGCTTTGTAAATTTAAGACCACATGAGAGGACCACAGGGATTCTAGAAAAGAAGACTACACGATACTGAAGTCCCCTCGCCCTTGATCTGTGGTATTCTGTCAGTTCACGACGGGCAAGTCCAGGGGTCAGCAACCTTTTTCAGCCGAGGGCCGGTCCACCGTCCCTCAGACCTTGTGGGGGGCCAGACTATATTTTGAGGGGGGGGATGAATGAATTCCTATGCCCCACAAATAACCCAGAGATGCATTTTAAATAAAAGGACACATTCTACTCATGTAAAAACATGCTGATTCCCGGACTGTCCGCAGGCCGGATTGAGAAGGCAATTGGACCTCATCTGGCCCCCAGGCCTTAGGTTGCCTACCCCTGGGCAAGTCCCAGTTCTTCTGCATGTGAACTGAGTGTGTACCCTTATACAGTACATGCCCCCACAATCCCCTGAAATACAGCAACATTCAGGGCCAGACATGTACAGATTCCTTGGTAGATGTTCAACTTCCAAGGTGTCTAGCAAATTGGGGTGAGCGCACAAAGGAGAAAACATTGATGCCAATTTTATTTTTTCATGACTTTGAAAATGGGACACAAAGGCATCCCAAATGGGACAGGGGACGCTGCTGTTTCTTAAGGGATGGGTGGGGGCAGAAAGCAGCTGTAGTCCCAGCACTTTTTGGAGCTTTAAAAAAATAATAATGGTAGCAACTACATTGCCTCATTAGCCTGAGAATCCGTCTGCTTGCCTGTAGGTAACCTCAGTGACTATGAGGTAGATATTGCCTCTGGAGGTCAGCCGGGGGGCCATATGGGATTTTCCTGCGTTTAGTTCCCATAGTGGAGAAGGAATCACACTCCCGCAGGGCAATCATCGCAAAGCCCCCAAACTGTTGTTTGGGAAATGGTGACTACCAGAGATCCCAGCCCCCCTTGGAACAATGGCCTTCTGTCAGCAAGGCTTTTGCAAAGGCACAATGGACCTTTGTGAAGAGACAAGCTCCCGTCAGAAGGAGCAGCAATTACAGCTAACACCAGCCAGCCTTGACTTTAACTCCTTGGGATTCACTATATTGTCCTAGCCCAGCCTAAAGGGAATATAAGATGCTCAGCAGGTCCTCTTCCTCACAAGTGATAACTGGGCGCCATTGTGGCAACACTGTTGTGTTGCTGTCTGAAACCATCTTTAAAAGGATGGAAGAAGGGTCTTCAGCTATTCTGGGCCAGTGGGCACATTTGGAACTCTGAGAACGTGCCATGGACACTTACAAATGGCTGCTGTGGACGTGGGCCCATTCACAATATGGCAGTGCCCATTTCGCAGAATCGTGGTGAGGCCAAAAGGTAAGTACCGTAACTTGCCCAAGAGCCTGGGTATAAAGCAGATGTGAGGTTCTGAGCCCCAAAGCACAAAATCACTTCTCTGAACTTACATCAAATAGGAAGATCATTCTCAAACTAACTTTCCACAAACAAAGGCCGCCCCCTGTGAAGTCTGTTGTGCTAGCGGAATAGAAGCATTGGCTATGACCTAAGCCAGATTTCTTCCTCACCTCCGCTGATGTTTCCTCACAGTTAAAAGCACTGCTCCTCAATGACTGGTTCTCCACAGTATGTCAGATGTTACAAGTCCAATATACAAAGCCCGTCATAAACTATGAAGCGATTCCCCACCAAAAAAGTACACACTTCTCTTCCCCTCTTTTCCTGCAGCCTGATCTCTACTTCTTTAGCTGCTGAGACAGATCTGGGGAAAGCAAAGTGGGAAAGTCTACTGAAAGCCGATCAAGAGGAGAGCACAATACCATTACCAGCAGAAAGGCACTGCAAGATTTTTACTGGGTTCATTTTAATTATACTGTACATCCAGGATACTTCCATGTGGCTCACATATAATATGGTTCCAGCTGAAGATTTTGCAAAAACAGGTTCAATTTCTGGCTACCTCTCCCCTGTTTATTTTGGCTTTCATTAAGAGCAGATGAAGACCCTTGCTAGATATGACCAAGATCCCCTATAGTCCAGCATCTGCAGCAGCCGTTCCAACAGGATATACAGTTGTAACTTGGAAGTCCGTTCAACTTCCAAAACATTTGAAAACCAAAGCGCGGCTTCTGATTGGCTGCAGGAAGATCCTGCAGCCAATCGGAAGCCCCATTGGACGTTCGGCTTCCAAAAGAACGTTCAAAAACCAGAACAGTCACTTCTGGGTTTCGATCATTCGAGAGCCAAAACGTTCGAGAACTAGGCTGTTCAACTTTCCAGGGTATGACTGTATATATAGGAAAGGGAGAGAGATGGGACTGCAGAACCTGTCTGTCAGCCCTGCTGAAGGCTAGCAACTCATTTCAAGAACTGAGTAAACAATAACTAGTGTATGAGTTTGTTCTTTTCCTCCTCACTCCCAACCCTTTTTCCTTTTGTGTCGTGTCTTTTAGACTGTAAACCTGAGAGTAGGAAAGGGCTGTCTCATCACTGATACTTGTAGACTGAAAAGCAGGATAAAAATGCTTTGGTGAATTAACGAATTCATCAATTAATATAAATTAAGGCCATAGCCCTCTCCTGCTGTCACTCCCAGCTGCTGGCATTCTGTCTCTGAACGTGAAGACTTCGCGTAGCTTCCATTGCTAATAGCCACTAACAGACCTATCCTTCATGATTTTTTTTTCCTGGTCCCCCTTTGAATCATTCTCATGTTGCAACATGTACTGTACAAACTTACATGGGGGGAATTCACACTGAACTCCAGCAGAAAACAAACTGCCTTGGAAAGTAGTGGACTTTCCTTTGTTAGAGGTTTTCAAGCAGAGGCTGGATGATGACCACCTATCAGGGATGCTGTAGCAAAGGAGTTCCTGCATCAGAAATAGCGGGTTGGACTAGATGACCTTTGAGTTACCCTCCCACTTCTATAATTTTATGTCCTATTTCTGAGTACGCATAGGACTGCAGCATGAGCCGGTGGATTCCAAAAAACATGCATTGTGTGAAGTGCTTTATTTTGTCTTTCCTGGATCTACAGCACTACCAATTGATTTCACTGGGTGATCCCATGCCCACTAAATTCTGTTGGCAGATATATAAATTAACTTGGAGTTTTCATCCTAACATTTTGTAACTGCTATTAGTACAACATATGGGAATAAAGGAGATGGTGAGGCTTTTCATGGAACTGAAGAGACTTCAATGAAGAAAAGGTGAATTTTGCTGAATGTTTAGGGAGGCTTTTAATGTTTGATGTAGTACAGTATTTTAATATTTTTTTTGGAAGCCGCCCAGAATGGCTGGAGAAGCCCAGCCAGATGGGCGGGGTATAAATAATAAATTATTATTATTATAATTTAGGCACCATTCAGGGCACATGGAAAACAGCCATATTTCAAAAAGTAAAATCCCCCAAAAGTTTTTGAGATTTTTTAAAGACAAGCCCCAAAGTTCTTTTTTTACAAAAACGCAAAAAGACACGATTTTTCCAGTTTCACTACCTTCCACCTTTCAAATCCCAGTAATGTCTGGGAAAATATGCCACCACCAGCAGGGAGGAGGTTCAAATGTACTATAGCATGGGTAGGCAAACTAAGGCCCAGGGGCCGAATCTGGCCCAATCACTTTCTAAATCTGGCCTGTGAACGGTCAGCTTGTTTTTACATGAGTAGAATGTGTCCTTTTATTTAAAATGCATCTCTGGGTTATTTGTGGGGCATAGGAATTCGTTCTCCCCGCCCAAAAAAAATAATAGTCTGGCCCCCCACAAGGTCTGAGGGACAGTGGACCGGCCCCCTGTTGAAAAGGTTTGCTGATCCCTGTACTATAGTATTGTGGGGGGGTGTGCAATTTTTCCACTGTTCAGGACTGCGTCAATATGCCCCCATGTGGCAAAAACAAGAAATCTAAGTATGCCAGGTACTGAAACCAGGGGAGCCGAATTGCATGCACATTTCACAGCTCTATTCTATCAGTGCTTACTCAGAAGTAAATCCCCTTGAGTTCAGTGGGACTTAAGGGTAAGGGTAAAGGGACCCCTGACCATTAGGTCCAGTCGTGACCGACTCTGGGGTTGTGGCGCTCATCTCGCTTTATTGGCCAAGGGAGCCGGCATACAGCTTCCGGGTCATTATTAAGCCGCTTCTGGCAAACCAGAGCGGCGCATGGAAACGCCGTTTACCTTCCCGCTGGAGCAGTACCTATTTATCTACTTGCACTTTGACATGCTTTCGAACTGCTAGGTTGGCAGGAGCAGGGACCGAGCAACGGGAGCTCACCCCGTCACAGGGATTCGAACCACCGACCTTCTGATCGGCAAGCCCTAGGCTCTGTGGTCTAACTCACAGCGCCACTTTAACTCACCGCGCCGCTTTGGGACTTATTTCCAGGTAAATAGTTATAGGATCACATCTTAAATTCCTCTTAATCTTAATGTTTCCTTTACGCCATTGGACAGTAGCAACCTTACTTAAGATGGGCTGTGCCAGTAGCATTATAACTGCCTTTTGAAGCAAGATTAATAGATAGGGAGAAGGAATGAAAAGGACAGAACTAGGCAGAAAGAGTAAAGGTGACAACAGAATTAAATAAATGAAACAGGGGTCACATGCTGCAGCCTGGGATTAAAAGGAGGTTCTGCATTTGGAAAAAATTAAGTCCGCTGCTTCAGTCTTTACCCTGAGCTCTCCTTTTGCCTCCTTTTCTGGACACGATCCTGCTAATACTTCTCTTTGGTCCAGATCCTGGAAAGTTTTACCAACTTTTTGGGTAGCTCATGCCCACACAGTCACATGTCGATGTAACAACACGGGCAAAGAGGCAAAAACAAACAAACCAGGACATGTTTATTTGAGGCTTCCAATCTACAATGGGAATTAAGTCTCTGACATTCAGACGTGCCCCCAAATACTACCCAGTTCCATGGGACAAAAGTGTGGAAAAAAACGCTCTTCCTATAGTGGCAGGCTTGCCAATTTTTAATATTTGTTCTGTCCTTTCAGGGTGGTGGTATAGAAATCTATGGCTTTTGCATGGCGAATGTAGCCTTCTGTATAAAACTGGAATCACATCCATTTGTTCTGCCCATTTTTAGCCTCAGGTCCCTCTGGCATGTTGTCAACCTGGAATATTGCCCATCAATGCAGACCCCAGGTCAAATAATAATAATAATAATAATAATAATAATAATAATAATAATTTATTTATACCCCGCCCTCCCCAGCCAAGACCGGGCTCAGGGCGGCTAACAACCAATAATAAAAACAAGTTGATTAAAATACAATTTAAAAGAATTAAGATACAACATTAAAACAATTAGGGAGCAATCTCTTCATAGGAGGAGAAAGGAAAAAGAAAGAGGGGGAGGGAATCAAACTGATTCTGAGCCAAAGGCCAGGTGGAACAACTCTGTCTTACAGGCCCTGCGGAAAGAGATCAGGCTGGAGCCAGTGTTGAAAAGCCCTGGCTCTGGTTGAGGCTAATCTAACTTCCTTAGGGCCTGGGACCTCTAGGGTGTTGCTATATATGGACCTTGAGGCTCTCCGTGGGGCATACCGGGAGAGGCGGTCCCGTAGGTACGAGGGTCCTAGGCCGTGAAGGGCTTTAAAGGTCAAAAGCAGCACCTTAAATCTGACCCTGTACTCTACCGGGAGCCAGTGCAGTTTGAAAAGCACTGGGTGAATATGCTCCCATGGCAGAGACCCCGGGAGGAGCCTCGCTGCAGCATTCTGCACCCGCTGGAGTTTCTGGGTCAGCTTCAAGGGCAGCCCCGCGTAGAGCGAATTACAGTAGTCAAGCCTTGAGATGACCATCACATGGATCACTGTGGCCAGGTCGGGGCGGGAAAGGTAAGGGACCAACTGCTTGATGCGGCGAAGGTGGAAAAATGCCACCTTGGCTGTTGTTCCCCACTCCTATTGTAGGAACAGGGACAACAATCTTTGAAAAAAACAGTCCTATAACACATTTCCGCGAAGGATCATAGAATTGCAGAGCTGGAAAGGACCGCAAGGGTCGTCTAATGCAACCCCCTACGATTCAGGGATCTTTTGCCTAGTGTGGGGCTCAAACACACAACCCTGTGATGAATAGTCTTGTGCTTTACCAACTGAGCTATCCCTGGCCTTTAAGGGAAGTTGCTCTGGAATGCAATGGAGCGAATGGCATGGCAGCAAGGCCAGTTTGCAAAATTAAAAAGAGCAAACTGGCAATCGTGCGCAACGATGAAAAGGAAAATTGTCCTTGTTCTGAAATCTGTGCAGGGCTTTTGGCCAGAAACCCCAATAAGCAGGAGGACAAGAAGCCACAGCAGAGCTGGTTTACTACAGTTTACACATTGCTATATAATATGGGGGGGGGAGAGAGGGGGGGGGAGATAAGATCATGATGCTTAAGAGTCTAACATTACCAAACTGCACCGCCTGATAAAATGCTTCCCTCGCACCTCCAGAAAGAAGCCTCTGGCTTAAGGCATCTGCTGCCTGCAAACGCCGCCCAGCCTCCCTCTGGGGCGAAGTCTCCCATGGCAGTTCCAGCAGCCTTCAAAGCGCTCACCAGAACGACCTCTGCGTGGACCACCCACCGTTAATGTACAGTAGCCAGGCGCAGCTGGGAGCACATCTGTTCTTCCTTTGCCTTATGCGAAAACACATGGCCACGTGCAGCCCTCGCCTCTAACCCCACGGAAGCCCTGAGCTGGAAGGAAATCGGTACATCGTCAAGGAGTCCAACCCACGGCCTTAAGACAGGATATCCTAGCTCTAAAGCATCCCTGACAGATGCCTGCCAAGTTCCCTGCCCCCAGCCCAAATTCTTGAGGAAAAGAAGGCACAGAAACTCCCTAAGCAGCTTCCAATTCTATTCCACGGGATAAACCCTGCTAATAATAATAATAATAATAATAATAATTTATTATTTATACCCCGCCCATCTGGCTGAGTTTCCCCAGCCACTCTGGGCAGCTCCCAATCAAATGTTAAAAACAGTACAGCATTAAATACAATGGTACTTCGGGTTACAGACGCTTCAGGTTACAGACTCCACTAACCCAGAAATAGTACCTCGGGTTAAGAACTTTGCTTCAGGATGAGAACAGAAATTGCACGGCGGCAGCAGCGGGAGGCCCCATTAGCTAAAGTGGTGCCTCAGGCTAAGAATGGTTTCAGGTTAAGAACAGACCTCCGGAACAAATTACTGTAAGTTCTTAACCCGAGGTACCACTGTATTAAAAACTTCCCTAAACAGGGCTGCCTTCAGATGTCTTTTAAAGATAGGATAGCTGCTTATTTCCTTCACATCTGAAGGGAGGATGTTCCACAGGGCGGGCGCCACTACCGAGAAGGCCCTCTGTCTGGTTCCCTGTAACCTCACTTCTCGCAATGAGGGAACCGCCAGAAGGCCCTCGGTGCTGGATCTCAGTGTCCAGGCTGAACGATGGGGGTGGAGACGCTCCTTCAGGTATACAGGACCGAGGCCGTTTAGGGCTTTAAAGGTCAGCACCAACACTTTGAATTGTGCTCAGAAACGTACTGGGAGCCAATGCAGATCTCTCAGGACTGGTGTTATGTGGTCCTGGCGGCCACTCCCAGTCAACCGTCTAGCTGCCGCATTCTGGATTAATTGCAGTTTCCGGGTCACCTTCAAAGATACCCCATGTAGAGCGCATTGCAGTAGTCCAAGCGGGAGATAACTAGAGCATGCACCACTCTGGCGAGACAGTCTGCGGGCAGGAAGGGTCTTAGCCTACGTACAACAACAGGCTTCTTCCACAACACACAACACCCTAATATTTATACTATGTACAGTATTTACTAGGGTGGAGCTCCATCGCGCTTTTTTAAATAGGATGTTTTGCAAAAGGGGGAATAATTTCAACGACATGCAAACACGGGTGGAAGCGTCTACTGCCCTTAAAGCAGGAATAGGGAAACTCCATCTCAATTCCCATCATCCCTGGCCATTGGCCATGCTGGCTGGGGCTGATGGGCAGTGGAGTCCAACAATATCTGGCGGGCCGCGGTTTCCTTGCTTTAGAGCAGCGGTTCCCAAAGTTGGGTCTCCAGCTGTTTCTGGACTACAACTCCCACCATCCCTTGCTAGCAGGGATGATGGAGATTGTAGTCCAAAAATAGCTGGAGAGTGTTTTTGCTTTAAAGTGTCATGGTGACACTGTGAAGGAGGAGAATTGACAAAAGAAAAGGACGGGTTGCAATTTTGCAGCAAAAAAAGCAGGTCCTCCCCTCCCTCTAAGGCATGGGTAGGCAAACTAAGGCCCGAGGGCTGGATCCGGCCCAATCGCCTTCTAAATCCGGCCCACGGACAGTCTGGGAATCAGTGTGTTTTTACATGAGTAGAATGTGCCCTTTTATTTAAAATACATCTCTGGGTTATTTGGGGGACATAGGAATTTGTTCCTTTCCCCCCCAAAAAATATAGTCCGGCCCCCCACAAGGTCTGAGGGACAGTGGACCGGCCCCTTGCTGAAAAAGTTTGCTGACCCCTGCTCTAAGGGGCTTCATCGGACTTAAATCAAATTTAATGCACTCCCCCGCGCCTTTCTCCAGAATGGAACTTCTCAGTGTGAAAAATGGAAGCTTCTGAAAACTTGGTTCAACCCTTCCACCTATCTTTCTGCATTTTACCCCTTCTTGTGTGATCCATATGGCAAATTATTTCTTTAAAGAAATGTTTGGACAGTCAGATCCCTCCTCCCACCATCGCACAGATCATCCGCAAGGATTGTGGGAGATTTGAAGCCAAATCTAACGATGCATATTCTTGCGAGTTAGCATGTAAAGGAGCTGATAGGCTCCTTGCTGACAGGCGGATTCCAACCATAGAAACAGAATTGGTAGAGAAGGCCCTGTGTGACGTCATTTCCCCTTCTCTCTTCAAAGAAGTATTTCCTGTTCCTTCCCTCTCTCTCTTCCTCTTCGACCAGCGATGGGAGCAAACATATATCCAGTAGCCTGAGGCTGCTTATACTGTAGATATAAGTATTTCGCCTGCATTTATTTTGCTGCTGCTGCTGCTAACAAATGCATGACTGTGAGTAAGTAAATTGCATTTTTAAACTTACTTATCAGTCTGTCGTCTGATTCTTTGTTACGTGGGATAAGAAAGGGGGAACCGGCTTGCTTCACAGCTGGACTTAATTAAAAGAAGGCGTCACAGCCGATTCCTCTGCTTTCAACTTTTCTGCTAAGGAGGGGACTTTGAACTTTGCTCAGCCCCACATTTTAAACAAAGTGGTAAGCTGATCTGTTTGCATGATCAACCCACACATGTGGGGGCCTGGAGGGATAAATTGCAATTCATATATTCTCTCCCACCTATTAAAACTCATCTCACAAGGAGAGGCTGCAGCTCAGTAGCAGATTACGCATGTTACATGCTAAAGTTCCCAGGTTCAAGCCCTAAAATCTGTAGGTAGGGTAGCTAAAGAATCCTGTCTCAAACCCTGGAGAGCCACTAGAAAACACTGAGATACCAAAATAGTGCGACTAGGTACAAGGCAGCAGCAGGTTAATTGCTCCGCCCACTTTTGCCTCCGGACCCACCCACCTCCGGAATACAGCCCCCAGGAAGCAGACTAGAAGGGAATGTGGCCCTCAATCTTAAAATAAGGTTCCTTGCCCCTGATTCAAAAGATTCATGTTGCCCTTCGGCACAGGTCAGGGACATAAAAATATATTCGCCTGGTGCCAGAAATACATCAAAGTAGGCTCCAGGTGCCGCTCCCTCAGAAGAGCATTCACCACGAATGGGGGCTACCACCGAGAAGGCCTTGCTGTTCCAAACCTCCACAACACCTGCCCTCCATCCCCGACTGTTTTCCCCCCAATTTTTTTTATTGATTTTCAACATTTATCTCCAAAAATGACATAACAAAACACACAACATAGAAAAACATACAACACTACAACAAACTAAATACACACACACACAAATTATCTCTTCAAATACCCAACTCTCATCACATTGATAACTGACCTCCTCAAGTCCCCTCTAACTGAATTTCATTATATCACTTATATAACAGTTCTTCGAATTCATATTTCTAATAATATTGACTCCTTTCATTTACTAACCTCTTCTCCTTTATTAATTCTAATCCTTAATATTCACTACTACCTAATCTTATTCCACCCCTAGGCCTATTTGTTACTTCCAAGAATTTTCTATTTATCTTATATCACAATATTTAGCTAAATATTCTTTGAATTAATTCCTATCCTCTTATGTCTCCTCTTCCTTCTGGTCACGGATTCTTCCAGTCAGGTCAGCCAGCTCCAAAAAGTCCAACATCTTCATCTACCATTCTTCTATTGTTGGTATTTCTTGCGATTTCCAATGTTTTGCTAATAAAATTCTAGTCGCTGTAGTGGCATACAAAAACAGTCTACCATCTTTTTTGGGGCAATTCCAATCCTATTATTCCAAGTAGAAAGGCTTCTGGTTTCTTAATAAATGTATCACTTCGTTTTAGGGAGGGCAATCCTTTCATTTGTGATATCCAGGGATCAGGGCTTCTCCTGAAAGAAGCGAGAGATTATGAGGTAGGAACTGGAGAAGCTTGTTGTTGCTTAGTCGTTTAGTCATGTCCCAGTCTTCGTGACCCCATGGACCAGAGCACGCCAGGCACTCCTGTTTTCCACTGCCTCCCGCAGTTTGGTCAAACTCATGCTGGTAGCTTCGAGAACACTGTCCCACCATCTCGTCCTGTGTCGTCCCCTTCTCCTTGTGCCCTCCATCTTTCCCAACATCAGGGTCTTTTCGAGGGAGTCTTCTCTTCTCATGAGGTAGCCAAAGTATCATGCTGGTAGCTTCGAGAACACTGTCCCACCATCTCGTCCTCTGTCGTCCCCTTCTCCTTGTGCCCTCCATCTTTCCCAACATCAGGGTCTTTTCGAGGGAGTCTTCTCTTCTCATGAGGTGGCCAAAGTATTGGAACCTCAGCTTCAGGATCTGTCCTTCCAGTGAGCACTCAGGGCTGATTTCCTTCAGAATGGAGAGGTTTGATCTTCTTGCAGTCCATGGGACTCTCAAGAATCTCCTCCAGCACCACAATTCAAAAGCATCAATTCTTCGGCGATCAGCCTTCTTTATGGTCCAGCTCTCACTT